ACATTTTGTATGCACTGTTCACTCTGAAATACTCCCAAGGCAGGATGCCGCCAATAAAAGCACCACAGACGAGAGAACGGAAGCACGGCCAGGACGATGCAGCCAAACAGCCGGAGGCAGAGCGCGATTCGTGCGGAGGCTGCGCATGAGGTGCTCGCCAGAGCGCGGGAGCGGCTTGCATCTGATGGCGTCCCTGCGCTTGGCGCAGGACCAAGGAGAGCGGGTGTCGCTGTGCGCTTTGCCTCGGCTGCTCACAGACTCGTGGCAAGAAACGCTTCAGTGAGGCGATAGGCATCAGAGCGGGTCTTTCAGTCAAGCATCATCGGTTCGCCTGCCACGGTGCTCCCGTCTCTGGGCTCCAGGAAGCTCGGGGTCCTGCCCCCTCCGTATCTTGCTTCGGATCTGCCCACGGGACTGTGGAGCTGGGAGAGCTGGTTGCCTTGAAATGGCAGGGAGGGAGCGGTTTGGGGGCAGGCGGGGGCTGCCAAGAGGGGCCGCTTCAGGCGTCCAGAGGGGCGTGCTGCTCGAACGGGAGCGTTCGGGGCCGAGAGGAAATCTTTCTGGGCTCTCTCACAGCCCCACGCTTGTCAAGGTGCGATAGAAAGCCGACGCGGGGCAGAGGGTAGCAGAGTGGTTCTTCCCACCCCCAGATGCACATCTGAGCCAACGTGGCTGCTAAACGACGGATCGAGGGCGTGTGTAAACGCACCTGAAATATTAGCGGAGCACCGCAGTTGTCACATGCTGTCGGTCGTTTCTGATTTATGGCGGACCCATGAATGGAAGGCCTTCGAAATCTCGTGTTCACGGCACCCCTGCTTAGCTTCCGAGTCGGAGGCTGCGGCTTCTGCATGGAATCGACCTCATACTGGGTCTTCCGCTCGTTGTGCTTCCCTGCCGTGGCGCTTCCGCTTCTCCTCGCCTTCTCAGCATGTGCCCAAAGCCCCGGGCGCCACTGGTGCTTCTAGGGAAAGCTCCAGCTTGCTTTGATCCAGGCCCACTTGTTCATCTTTCCGTCAGCCCGGGGGATTCGCAAAAGACGGCTGCTAAAAAATCAAGATGCATTCTGCGGATGGTCCCCGGATTCCGTGGGCTGCAGGTTCTCTTCACCCTCCTTCCACTGCCGCCGTTCCGCTCCCAAGTCGAGATACCGTTAGGATCACTTTGGCCGGCACGCCAGTGATCTGAGCCCATGAAGGACCCCTGTGATGGCCTTCCTGGTCCCAACCGCCGCCTTCTTTCCGGGCCTCCGACTTTGGTCACTGCCTGCTCACAGCCATGTGGGTTTGCCTTGCTAAGCACAAGCTCCTTGTTTTGCAGGCTTCCGTGCACCCGTATGGGGTATTCAGGGCTGGCTGGTCCTCCGTTCACAGGCCTTGCTGTCTTCACGGATGCTACCCTGATGTCTTGGTTCCAGGATCTAGTTTGTTTTGCAAGCGCCCGCAGAAGAAGCCTCTAGCAAGAAAAATGATTTTCTGGAAGTGTTCCCCTGAGCTGGAGTGATGGCACACGTGCTTCTGACCTGGATTAGATTAAGGGGAGGCGCTCTCCTGGAGGTCTGGAAACTTGCAAACGCCGGCCTGATTTCAGAGGCACCAGCCAACCCACAAAGGCATCTGGAAATTGGCTGGCCCCGCGCTTTGCTGAGAAATACGGCCCAGGCGTGAGGCATCCTCGCCCCAGAAGGTTCAGCGGCACGCCTGGCCGTTGGCGCTTGGAATGTGGGCAAGGGGTGACCTTCCCCCCACTGAACACAGAGCCACCGAGGGCCCTGCTCCGCTCGCTCTGCATCTTCCAGAACGAGGCCGCTGTCCTCTTTGCATGGCAGAGGGAGGCATTCTAGTCCCCCCCCCATGCTAGAGCCCCGTGGGGTCTGCAGAGGTCAAAAGGGGGCCTCCTTCACACAACTCCCTTTCACAAAATGCAGTGATGGAGAAGGTGGCCATGTGTCAGAAGCAGTGTTGCAGTGCGCGCTGCCTGCTGGGGAACATGGGAGGGGGTGCTGGTGGGTGCCTGGCTGCTGGGCATCCACGGGCAGCTGCTTGGTGACTGTGTGCCCAGGCGGATCCTTGGGCTGGCCCAGGACAACTCTGGTGCCCCACCTTGCCCTGCCCACCCAGGGTCCAGCCGAACCCTGAACCCGCTTTCTTCTGAGCCCTCTGTCTGCCCTGGAGCAGAGCCTTCTCTTTGTGAGCACCGCTCCAGCCTGCGGGGCTTCGATCAGCTCCGAGTATAACCCACGGCCCTCTTGACCCCCCAGCGCGTTTCCGGAGATCCTTTCCTAGCAAGTGTGTATGGGGTGTGGGGGGAGGTCTGCGCTCTTGGATCGCAGTGATCCTTATTTCCCCAAATTAGAAGTAGCTGATTTCTGGCAGGTTCCCCCAAGCCTTGCATTAGTGTTGACACACGCAGGCCCTTATTTATTTAATTAATTTCTCTACTGTCCGGCAGCCCGATCTCCCTGGGAGGTGCTGTGCGCACGTGGGCGTGCGCCAGGATACGACAGGCTTCAGGCTCATTCCACGAGGACGCTGAACAAGTGCGCATTTCTGCAGGCAGCTTTCTAACTGTACATATTTTTTGCATGCACCCGCCCACTGAGTAACGTATGTTTGTGTACATTGCTGGAATGTGTGTGCTTTGCTTCGCACACTTGTTGAATGGGTGTATTTGCTCAGACATGGGTTTCCTGTTCTGTGGAATGCCATCCCGAGACGCTAGTGGTGGACAGGGAAGAAAGGCCTTTAATAAATAAAGAATAAATATAAATAATAAAGGCACCCCGAGGATGGCCTTCTGAATGTTTCTGGATCGTGTCCTTGTCTGTTTCCAGGTGAAGTGGGCTACAGAAATCTGCCCCCTCAAATGTGAGGAAGTGCATTTCTCATCTGCCTCTGTTTTTTCCCCAGGAAGCCGCTGTCCGTGAGTTTCATTCCTCCAGCTCCACCACTCTTAGCCACGTGGAGAAGTTCTGCTTCTCAGTGACCTGGAAGGGCTTCCAGGAAGACCACCTCCCTACCTTCCTCCATGCAGCTTTTCACCCTCCCTTCTGAGTCCTCATTTCTTGCTGAAAAATAGGCGTACGTATGTGCAGTTGAAGCAAACATGGGTCTTTCCCCATCGCCCTGTACGTCTCTTCTTCCTTGTTCTGCCTTCCCTTTCTTCATTGCCTCTTGCCTAAGTTGGCAAGCTCCACCTCTTATTTATTCTTGCACCTAAAACACGATGCAGATTAATGCTGCAATAGCAGGGCAACCCCGAAGAACACCTGATCACATTCTCCAAGTAAACACGGCATGGTCTGATCTCCATCTGAGTTCGAAAAATTGCAGCTGCAACAGGAGAAAATCTTCTCATTCATCTTTGAAACTGTAATGGCCAAAATCCAGGCAGTTTGGCCACTTCCGAAAGAAAACGGTTAGGGACCCATTTCATATCCACGTAGCCCAGTTGGTTGAAATACTGAGCACACATTCTATTTTTTCAGGAGCTGAATCTATTACCTTTCATGCATATTTTACATTTGCTATTTGGCCTGATTTCAGTAGAAGCTTGTTGGACGTGCACGTGTGAAAATATTTAGCATGTGCCAGAGAGTGCATCTGAAGCATCCTGGATGAAAGAAAAACCCACCCTTCCCTTCAAAGAAAATTGATTTCCGCCTTAACAGCACCGAACCTCCCAGGTGAGCACTAACCTCCTCCTTGGGACAAAGGACAAATCAGTGAAGCTTATGGGACTATGCAAGCTCCTGTCCTCAGTGTGGGAGAAGACAGGCAAGCGAGTGGTGCCCGCCATCACCAGGACTATCTGCGTGTCCTCTTGATGCTCGGCTCATGCCTTCCGCACTTGCTTTGCCGGAGCATGGGCAAGCGGAGAGGCAGCTGGATGGGAGAGCGCATGAGTTGGGTTACATCCTGCCTTTTTTCTCGTGAAGAACTCAGAGTTCTTCTTCACATGATTCCTCCCCTCCAGCTGCTCTCAGGCTTATCCCCACAACAACAGCCCTGTGAGGTAGGCTGGGCCGAGAGTCTGTGCCTGGCCCAAAGTCACCCAGCTGGCTCCATGGCCGAGCGGGGACCCGAACCCGGATCGCCTGAGTCCCAGCCCCATGCTCTTCACCACTACGCCGCACTGGCCCTCTCACTCCACCTTGGCTTCTTAGCCCTGGTCCGTGCCGTGGCTGCACCCGGCGCTGCCCCAGAGGTGCGGGACCCGGTCCCTGCGGGCTGCTCCCAGTGGCTCCACACGGATCCTGGGGTGCTGCTGCAGGGCCTCGCCACCCCGAACGTGCCCGTCTCCTGTGCCCGTGACCTCAAGCCCTCCCAGCTGCCTCCTTGGGGGGGGGGGCATGGAAGTGCCCGCAAGGGAGGGGAACCTCGGTGGCGGCCCACAGGGACGGCGCATTCTCCCCCCAGAGGCCCACCAGCAACATTCCTATCTTATGGGCTCCGGGCTGAGACTCGGCTCGGCTCTCCAGCACTGGGCTGCACGGGGCTGGGGCGAACGGAGACACGCCGGTCCCATCAAATCTCGCCTTGAGTTTGCTAAAATTTCCTAACTTGTCCGACTTTATCCCATAGCATAAAGTGAAACTGATTCAGACTGTGGAGGAAAGTTGGAAAAAATTAGGAAAATACTGCAGAGCCAGATGGGGATGAGGATGAGGGTGAATATACTGGCAGACATTTGCGGCAGACAGTTACTCTGTGTTGCGCTTGCAGTCACGCCGAGAGCGTCAGGTGTGGCACAGATGCCACTTTAGCAAGCAAAATCGAAATTCACACACAACTCTAGTAAATAGATAATTTACACTTGACAATTCTTTTAGCAAATTTGCAGGCTTGGGTAGAATCGTCACGAACGGCAATGACACGGGTTGTCTCCACATGCCATTGGAGTGATGTCTCCGTGTGCGTGCTTCGTGTGGACTTATCCTGATCGTGCAAGTCAAAAACTAGTTAGCTTAGCACTCTTTGAACAAATAGGAAAAAGAAAAAGAACGTAAAAGAGCTTTACTGCACAAGGTATGGAAGAGAAAGCTAGTCTTAGAAGTCCTTCCTTTTCTACCTGCCGAAGTTACCTTTCTGCATGGAGGGAAAGGGCAAACGCGCGACCTGAGGCTCAAGGGAAGCGGAAACGGTGCACTTTTCTGCGCTTGCTGAAGCATATGATGGACTCTGTCCTTTTGGGGCGCAAAAGTGCAGGCAGACGCGTGGCATGCTCAGGGGCGGCCCCCCAGAAGTGGGATTGCAGAATCAGAGGAGTCCTCCATGCCAAGAAGGAGGTGGTCCAGCAACATCAGATGGGAAGCCCATTCACAGCAACGGGGGCGCATCAGCCTCATTGCCGTGGTAATGCACAAATGCACGCCCATTTCGAAATGATGCGCAGTGCGCAGGGCCCAAGGATGAGGCCTGCTTGCCCCTTAAACTAGGGCTCACCAAGCACGGGAGCAGAGCAGCTCTTGGCTTTGGCCATTCCTGTTGCTCGCTGTGGCTGATGGGAGCTGACATCCGTGCAGCCACAGCCCTCCCCCCCCGCCCCCGTTCAATCCTCAGAAGTCAAGCCATCCAAGACAGCTGAAAGGTGCTTCTCTGCCGTGAATTAATGTGCCGATGTCCCACTTCCAGGGTGGGGGGACCCAATTGCCGCCCCGCCTTCAAAAGCCAAAACTGCCCCGGGCGAGGGAGTAGCCCAGCTTGTTCCGGTTCCCAAGGAAGGACATCAGCCCGGTGTAGGTCTGGATGGGGATGGACTCCTGCGCCACCACGACGCTGCTGCTCTTGCCGGGCATGGGGTCTGCCGCCTGCGCCTTCTGCACGGCCTGCACCAGCTCGGCCTGGAACGCCGGGATCTGGAGGAGGGTGAGAGAGCGCTCAGCCTGCGCTGTGCTGGACCACGGCGCAGGATGCAGAGATGCGATCGAAATTGCAACGGCTGGTGGCCGCCTGGCACCCTGAGGGCTAGGAAGTCGCACAGCCCTCTGTGAAGGACACGCTCTGGAGGTAGGCTGGAAAGGCCCCTCCGCCGGCAGCCGGGATTGCTGGCGGGAGCTTTGGAAACCCTCTGGCCTGATCCGGTGTGGCCTCATCCGGGACAGCGGCACTGACTCATGGCTTTGGGGTCACGCCGGGAAAAGGCTCCTCCAGCTATGTCCGGCTAGCCCACATTCATGCTCGAGAGGGCACTGAACTGCTCATGAGCCTCCCCGCTGACCCCTTGGTCAAACTGGGCATTAGCCACGTGAAAACCAGCGAGATTCCAAAGACAGAACTGAACTCTCCAGGCTGCATTGGAAAACGGGGGGATCCCTCAGAAATTGCGCGGAGGGGGCTGTAAGAATGTTTCTTCTCCTGGGCACTGGATGATGCCCCCTCCCACAATATGAATTGCAGAGTGGGGCAGGGGGCGGAGAAGCCGCAGTCGCTCCACAGACCGTCCCGGAAAGGGGAGCCGCCACCCGCCTCGGAGGGCCAGCGTGGGCTTTCCCGCCCACGCAAACAGCCCGGTGGCCGAATCCCCCTTTCTCTCCACACAGGGCTAGGAACTGGCGTCTTTGGCTTGCTCCCCAGCCCCCGCCTGACCTCCCCCCCAGCAAGTTCACTCCCCCATCAGAAACACAAGACACCACCAGGGAGGGGAGGGGTTTGAAAAGCGTCTTTTCATCCCAGCTCTGCAGGTCCCAGGAGCGGCCGAGCTCCCGCGGCCCACTGCTCGCCCATGCGACGCATGCCGGCACTCCATGTACCCACGCCGTCTCCGAGCAGCGCGGCTTCTAGCAGACCGAAGCATCCTCAGAATGCCAGGAGCACAAAGGGGTCCCGTTGCAGCACAAGCCCACCGAGCGCTGCCAAGACCTCAAGGATAAGCGGGCGGAGATGCGGGGGGGGGCGCTTTTGGTGGAAAGGGGGCAACGCGGCTCCCAGCAGTTCCGCCATCAATGCTGTTGGAGCCCTCGTGTGTGGTCGCCTTCACACACGGCTTCCGCTGCACACAACAAACCAGGGAACTCCCGGGCTAGTTCCACCCCCTGCGGGATGGGGACACCCCCAGCCCCAGCCCTGGGGGGCTGTGCTTCAGCCACATCTCGAGCCCCTCTTTGCCTGGCATGCGCATTCAACCTGCAGCAGCCTCTCGAGGCAGGGATGGGAAAACTCCCCACCTGAGGCCTGGTAGACCAGCTGCCGGTCAGCGTCTTAATCTTCCCAGTCCCTTAATCATCCCAGAAACACAGACACATAGAACAGAGCAAGTCAGAAGGGTCCTCCTGGGCCATCTAGTCTGACCCCCACCCCCGGCTCCAGCCAGCTCCGCTCACGACATGCCCACCATGTGCGTGTCCAGCTTGTCCTTGAACGTCCTCACCAACGGGGCCTCCACCACCTCCCGGGGAAGCCCATCCCATGCCCTAGGGGTTCAAACCGTCAGGAAGTGCTTCCTGGGATCCAGCCTGAAGCCTGGTTCCCTGAGCTTTGCCTCATCGGGACGCATCCTGCCCTCGTCCACAGGGAAGAACAGCTCACGGGCCTCCTCCACATGACGACCCCCACAAAGCTACAAGTCCCTAACAGGTCCCCGCGGCGTCTCCTCTCCTCCAGGCTGAGAAGACCCAGCTCCCTCCATCTCTCCTCATGCAACATCCCTCCCAGCCTGGCTGCAGTTCCTGTGACTCTGCGCTGAACCAGTTCTAACCGAGCTATGACTCTCCTATAATGCGAGCCCAGAACTGGAGGCAGAATTCCAGTCGTGGGTGCACCAGTCATGTACGGCAGTATCCACACTTCCCTAGATCTGGAAGCCACGCTTCTGGCTCTGCAACCAAGGGTGGCGTTCACCCTCTCGGCCACCGCATCACACGGCTGGCTCACGTTCAGCCTGCAGTCGACCAGCACCCCGAGGTCCCTCTCACAAGTGCTGCTCTCCAGCCACTGGCCCCCCATCCTGCACTTGTGACCCGCATTCCTGTGCCCCAAGCGCAAGATCTGGCACTGACCCACATGTGGGTCCATCTGAAAGTGCGTGCATGGCCCCTCCGACACAGGCAGCCCCCTAACACATATTTTTTTCACTTTGACCTATGGGGGCATCTGCATTCTGGGGAAGCAATCCTCATTTTCAGCATCTTATTTTACTTTTATGCATGAAGTCTGCATAAAATTGCCAGAAGTCAACAAAGCCAGACTGAAAGTTCATGGAACATGTTTGACTCTGGGAAAAACAGTCTCCTGTAGAACCCGCCCATTTGGGACTTGCTGGAGTCCACAGCGACCCCCCCAGGCCCCCTCTCTCCTGCCTCTCCACAGCTTTAATTCCAGCTGCCACCATGCTGCCCCGGCAGAAAAGGGGCTGCCGGCACCCGCTGGCTCTTTCGAAGCGGCTGGAAGGCCTGGCCATGGCCGCACCCCAGAGAGGCTGGCGGGAACCTGCCGCTGCTCCAGCCAGGCCAGGGGGCAGAGCAGGGGCCCAGGTCGAGCAGCGGGACTCAGCCGGTACCAGAGAGAGGCAAGACTGGTGCGCAGGTGTGACTGGGCTGCTCAGCAGCTGCTCTGAACGAGGAAGTGGGGCATCCCTTCGTCTATAATGTCATCACACAAAGGTCATGGAGTTGTCGCCGGATGCGTCATCAGCCAGTGTGAGTCGCTGCAGACGGGTGTGCCAAGGGACCGTCCTGCATGGGGCCCAGGAATTTCCCCTTGACGATTTCAAGCCAGCCGTCGGGACACGAGGCAGCCAGGCGCTCTCCATGACCCTGAATTTCCGGCCCTGCGTTGCCTCCGCGCACCCGGTTGCTCCAGTCCGCTCTGCTTCTTCAGCATGTTTCCCACCCCGACTTTCCACAGACGTTGCCTCCCCACCTCTCCTTCGGGCGCTCCCTGGCTTCCCCCAAACCTTCCGGAGCCGTGGAGCATGTTGACGGCACACGGTTCTATTCCTCCTTCCCATTGTCAGCAGGTGCTGCTCGAGCTGTCCAGCCCCTAGGCCGCCCGGGGCTTTATACCTGACGCGATGCCCTGGAAGCAGGCCTGGGCTTCAGCTGGCAGCCCGTGCGGTTGAGCCAGGGCAGGGCGTGGATGCCCACATCGGTCCGTTCCGCTTACAGACGGGCTGCCCTGCTCTGTCTCAACGGAAGTCTCCGGGGGGCTCTCCTAGCATTTCCGGGCTGTTGTTGCCGTTCTCCTTCCGATGCCGGCAAGGCATAGAAGGGAAGGAGGGACGGACGAGCGCGTTCCAGACTCCAGATTTGTGCAGGCATCGCCCCAAAACCTCGCTACTCTGCTCCGTGCGTGGCTTGCACCCCTTGAAATTCCATGCGCATGCCTCACGTCCACACTGAATTTCTGCTTTAGCTCTTGACCCCGGGCGAGACCTCTGGCGTGGGCATGAGCCAGAGCCACCGGCCTCATTAGCAGAGGCGACCCCAAGCCATGCTGCAGCGGGGGGCAGCCAGCCTCCCACCCCCAGCTGAAAGGAAAAGGCAGGAAGATCCAGTGGCCCCAGAGGGCCGGAAGTTAACTCAAAGCCACAATAAGGGAGGCGGCAAAGAGGGACCGCGAAGGGTTCCCGGATGGGTGGCCCAGGCGCACCTGGACTGAGGCAAAATTCCTGCCCACGCCTACAAGCTGGGAAAAGTGCAGGGACCGGGAAAATTCCCCTCTGACGAAACGCTAGAGCCGCTTGGGCTTTTGCGTTCCGGGAAAACAAGCAAGCAAGCAAGCAGGCCCGGCAGGTGTAAGTTCTGGCAAAGGCTTATAGGATTTTCCTAATATCAGAACTTGCCGCCAGTGAAGGGAGCTGCTGCGGCATTTAAAGGACCAGCCGCGTGGGGTCCTCACCATCCGTTCGTCATCTCCCAGTCCCGGCGGGTTGATGCTTGCATCATGCTGCAGCCTATCGATGCATGGCTCCTCTGCGGTGGGGGGCGAGGGGGGGCAGACCAGACATGTGCAAATCAACAAAGCTCGCATGTGCCGCAGTTCTCTGAATTTCATCCTGAAACTCGCTCCACATACGGCGTGTGAGCTCAGCTCAGTTTCTTTTCACGTGGAACCCTACACATCTTCCTGTCCGTATTTTTCCGAATGTGCGCATCCGTTCTGCGCACTCTGAAATGGTGGCGTTTTGGCATGCATACATTCTGCAGGATCGAATGCACTCGTTTTCGAAATGTATGCACGTGGACCAAGAGGCCATTCGGCGTTTTGTCTGCAATTCACACAGCGAGCTCAGAAATGCAGGAACCTTGACCACAGAGCGAATCCACACCTGTGCTCAGGCAGAATGGTGTGAACTGGGTAAAGCCCTGATCCCAATACCGGAAACACAATTCTCAGATGTCCGTGGGACAGACCACGGGAAAGCAGGTCCTTCTGCACCGCGTTGCTGTCAGATCGACAGCAGAGTTCCCCCGCATCTCTGTGCTCAGCCCTCCTTTCCATCCAGCAGAGGGAACGGCAAGTACTTAAAAGATCTGGAGCCCAGCCCCATATCTGCATAAAATCTACATATTGCAATTATAGCCATATATACAAATTTGGAAATAATTACTAGGACTGATTCGGATTTCACAGGAGGCAAATCCAATTAATTCCTCTCCCGAATTATCTCAAATGAAATGCATTCCTCCATTAACCTGTACCTGCCCCAGGTCATCCCAAGCCAAGAGGGAAGGGTGGGCCGCACCCAAGCTCAACGGCTGCTTAAGGGGAGATTATTCTGGGGTGTGTGCCAGAGTGCCAGGAATGCATCTTGCCTGGCTTTTATGCAACCAGGATCTGGGGTTATTAACGCAGCGCTGTTTTAATAACCCACCTCATGTTGTGTAAAACCCGGGCCCTTCGTGTTAATGAAATGAAAAACCGGGGCACACCTGACGGCCTGCACTCGGGCGCAAGCTCTCTGTTCTCTCGGAAGGGGGGCTGCCCGAGCCCAGCCCCTGCTCGCCCCCCAAGCCTGCGAGTCTGAAGTTCCTCCCTAACTCGAGGCGCAGACGCTTTTCGTTCTCGCTGAACCGGATGTTTTGTTGGATTCACCTGTGCGAGAGATCCATCCCATCCCGTGGAAGCAAAGGGAGCCCTTCTCCCCCCGCACCGTCGCTTGCAGCAATGCCCCCCCCCCCCCCCCATGAGAAGAAAGGGAAGACAAGAAACCCAAACGGGACAGCTCTCAAGCCCGGGCCGGGCTGGATGAAAGGCCCTGGCGAGAGACCAGCCGCTCCGCTCCCGGGCGCTCGCTGTTTTCCACAAGGCGATCCGATTACCCACCGTTTCATCGGGGGCGTGCAGGTGGGGAGATCATTTGGGAAGGGGGGGATATTGCTATGCCCTGCGCAAGTGTGGCCTGCAGTCCCGGGCTGGGGGGTTCATGTTTCGCTCTGCAGGCCGGGGGACGCGTGTCCCGCGCACTTCCTGTTTACACGAAGGGGCCGGACGGCAGCCCGGACTCCTCGCCTGGGCACCCCGTGCGGTGCGGCTCGTGCGACCCCCGCCCCCTCCATGGCAGCCCTCCCCCTCTGCCCCATTCCTCCGTCCGGCCGTCGCTGCCCCCACCCCGCCCTGCAGGGGCAGCGCCTTGCCTGCCCTGGGCTGCACGGCAGGGGTGAGCTGGCCAAGTGCCCCCTTCTACGGGGACAGTCCTCTCTTTGAAGGGCTCCTCTGTTTGATGCCCCCCTCCCGTCCCACCCAGGTTAAAGCAGCTCTTGCAGATCACACCGGAATGGCGCCCTGAGCAGACCAGCGCGTGGCTGTGGGAAGCCAGGCGGGGGCTACGCGGAAGAGGGCCTTTTCTGTGCTGGCACCCCGGGGGGTGCTACTTCCCAGGCCCCACCTCGTCAGCCACCCTTTCAGCCCCCCGACCCACCTGGCAAATGGTGCTCAGCCGCTGGCAGAAGTGCTTCACGGGGTGCTCCATGAACGTGGCGAAAGGGAGGTCCGTGGCCCAGGGGTTCCATCGCGACAGGAAGGTGGGCTCTCGCACTCCGTCCCAGAAGATCCGCAGCCCTTCCCCTCCTCTCCTGGAAGGCAACACAGCGACGGGTGAGGCATCCTGCGGGGCCAGGCAGCCGGGGGGCCTGCTGGGAGGAACACGGGCTCCCGCTCGGGGGTCCGGAGAAGCCACGGGGCTCCCTCCCACAGGGGGTGCCCCACAGCAGGCAGCGGGGAAGGACGCTGGACTCGGATGACACAGCCCTTCAGGCTCTGTGAACAGGTGGCAGAGCATGGGGGGGTGGGGGGCATGTGCGGAAGGAAGGCACTTTCCAGGTCGGGTTCAAGGAGCCATTCTGTGCATGCTCAGAAGTACATTCTTTGGTGATTGCATGTATGGGGTCTCCTTTGGTGCACAAAGAGCACCAAAGAGAGGGGCTGTTGCCTTGGTTGTGTGAAGGGAGGAAAACCTGGCGCACGACACGCCTTTGCGCCAGTTGGACACCGACCCCTCTAGATCAGGGCACTCACAGCAGCCTGGCCTGGGTGGGCTGTCCCTGATGCTACTGAAGCACCGCAGGGGGCCCACACCAGGGAGGCCATGTGACTCCCAAAATGAGCCCGGAACTAGACCCTCCCCACACTGCCGGCCGGACCCCGGCCTAGAGGAGAGGGCGCCGGCTGCGAAGCTGAGTGCCGGAGGCTGGGGGGACGGAGGACGTGGAGGGGGGCATTTCAGAGGACGCTACGGGAACCCACAAACGCGGAGGAGACAGGCCCAACGGCTGGGGCAGCGTGCGTGCTTGGGCGTGGGGGCAAACTGCCTGCTTTTCTTCTCCTTTTGGTGCATTAGTTGGTATACTCTGAAAACAACTGCTGCCACTTTTTAGAGTTTCCTTCAGAACACGCTAATCTTTAAAAAGAGATAGATTAGCCTTACGGGGTGGGGGAGACAGAAAAGCTCAGGTTTCCCATTCCAAATATAATTACCCAAACACCTTCTTCGTGCTGGCGTTGGCTTGCATTGTCTGCAAAAACCAAACCGTCCCCATTTCTCCCTCCGTGTGGTGATCACATAAACACACGACTCCGTCAAGAGGTCCCAGCTTCTGGGGCAGAGGACGCAGCGGCGCTGCGGGGACAAGGGCGCCCAGAGGCAGGCTGTTCTGCCCAGAGAGCACCTGGATCCGCTCGCAGCAGGAAAATGAGGGAGGGGAACCTCCGCCCCCGCTAATCCACCCTGCTGAGCACTCTGAGACCCCCCCCCCCCGGCAGCTTCCGCCACATGGCACTCCCCAGATGTATGGGACTACAACCCCCACCATCCTGGTTGTGGGAGATGTGCTCCATCTCCTATGGAGGATGCCGGGTTGGGGTGCCACTGGGTGAGGGCCATCTTAGGAGACAACGTGGGATCTGGCCCATGTGGGGGGCGAAGACTGGGGCTGAGCGAGACTCTCGGAGGGCAGGCACCAGCTCCAGAAGCTGCAGGGTGTCGCACGACCTGTGCCCGCCTGGCGGCTTCTCCGCAGCAGATACTTGGCCACGGTGCCAAGGCGGCGTGGGTGGGAGGGCTCCCGGCCTGCTCCAGCACAGGGGCATCGGCTCTTCGGATGTCCTCGGGGTGCTGGAGTTGGCGGCCTCCCCTCCGCATCCAAACCCACCCACGTTCATGCCTCGCTCCTGCAGGTGGCGGGACTGCAAAGACTTCGGGCTGGTTTCTTAGGGACACGCGGGTTGGCCATGACGAATCTGCTCTGAGGGGCCTGATCCTGCCCCCATGGATCCTGGAATCCGGACCTTTGAGGCTGGCGTGACGACTTGGCCATAGACTAATTGCAATGGAAGCCATCATGGCCCCTCAAAGAGAAGTCGTTAAACTGGAAACTAGCACGGAAGAGCCTCACGGGAGGAAAGGGCTTGCTGAGGATGATGGGCTTCCCTCTTGCTCCACCTTTCACCAGACACCTCAAATAAGGGTTGCCCGTGCTTCTTGCGAAGATGCTCCTGTCCCAGCACAGAGCTGCTGGGGGGCCCCGGGGAGCCCCCATGGCAAGAGAAGGCCAAGCAAGCAGCTGCCCTCCTTGTCTGCAGAAGCCTCTCCTCCTCTGAAACCTCAGAGAAGGAATGAAAAGCATAGCCCCAGGCGGCACGCCAAGATTTACAAGGAAGTGGAGACTTCAGCTCTGTGTGGAGCTGGGCGTGGAGGGACACCGAAGGAGCAGGGAGAGCAAACACGGAGGCAGGGGCAGGCCCTCGGAGAGGTGGAGGGATGGAAAGCGGAGTGCCCCTTCTGGGAGAAACCGGCGGGCTGCCATGCCCAGCAGCACAGGCCTCTGCCCCCCACGCCTGTTGATGTGCCGATGGCACAAAGGAAGCGGAAAGTTGGCACTCGGTGGGCGAGTGGGGACCGGTGGGCCGGCCCGCTTGCGTGGCGAGGCCCTTTCCATGGCGACGGGTCAGTCCCGGGGACGCTGGCACCGAGCCTGGCGCACAGAGGTGTGCTCTCCCCCCTCCGCCGAGGGTGTTTGCCGTCCTCGCTGCGGCCACGGGTGCGTCCAAGCCCCTGAAGCAGGTGCGGCCTTTATGCTCAGGCAGGGGCCTGGCTCCCTGCCAGAGCCTTCCGGAAAGCTCCGGGCTCGATGAGGGCAGCTCTTTGTGCTTGGCTTGGCTCTTGGAAAACAAAGCGGGCAGCCCGCGTGGGAGCCAAAAGGGCCCGCGGCCTCCGCGTTGCCACAATGCCAGGCTGCACACAGCTCGGCCGTGGGGCGGGCGCAGGCGAAGCGGGGCAGAGGAGCCAGCGCTGCTGCGGAAGACGCTCGCGCCGTGCCCTGAGGAGACTGGGAAGGCCGCACGATGCCTTTCGGTGCATCGGGTCCGCCACGGCTTTCCAACGGGATCTCTGCAAGTGTGCATGGACAAAGGAAGGCGTCAGGGAGAGAGAGCGCTGTGGACACGCGAGGTTGCAAGAGGGATGCCGATCCCGGCGTTCCCAGAGAAGTACCTTCGAGGGGGGACCAGCACCCAGTGGCGCAATCACGGCGCGCATGGTGCCCTCTTTGGTCCGCAAGCGGGGATCCGCCTGGCGCCCCTCGGCTCTCTCCTCCGCTCTCGTTCTCAAGCATGCCTTCCTCTCCTGGCGCACTTCAGCTCCGAGGGAAGGAGGTTACACCCACCAAGCGACGCAGCCAGAAAAAATGATAATTACAGTGCTGAGAGGGCCGGTTTACAAGGCAGCATAAGTGCCATCACAAAATCAAAGTGGGAAATGAAGAGAGAGCTTTACAAGCGACTTAGTGAGATGTTATTCATGCTTTTGAAGAGAGTATTTTTCCCTCTCAGGGAGAGACAAAGCTGGAATTAATGCAGCCGAGGGGACTCTCAAGACCAGCATCCCCTCTAGAATCTTCCACACACCCCCCCCCCGCCCCCCATGCTGGAACTCACTCCGCCTGCGTCGTGCCGGCGTGTCTGTAATTACAGGACACGCTTCCCTTCCTCCATTTTCCCTGCCTTCCCAAAATTAAGAAGCAGCACCTCGGCCTCATCCGTCCCGGAAGCCGGGCACTTGCTCCTTGGCGGGGGGCCCAAGGCTGCCCTGCTGCGGGGCCATTTGAGCCAAGGGGAAGCCGCTGCTTGGGGCGCTGGATTTCGGGTAATCCAGGCTGCTGAGGAGGAAGGAGGCAGGTGGCTCTCGCTGTGGGAAGCCACCCTGGGAAGCCACCCTCCGGCTGAGCCCATGATGAGATGGCCGCCGGCCAGTGCTTGAGGAGGCGCCCTCGAGCCGGAGGCCAGCCCTGAGCGACGGCAGGGGCCACGCCATTCTCCAGGCATGGTGGGGAATTGAAGGGGCTGCCCACTAAGTCATCCACATGTAAATCCATGGCTGCCCCCCCACTGAAAGGGGTCACCCTGCTAAGTCCAGGGAGGTGCCAGGCGTGCCCAGAGCCCCTCAAAACGTGCATTTTCATGCTTTAAGTGATCCCTTGGGGAAATAGCCATCCTTTTCTCAGACTGGATTTGCATAAAACTCGGGCGAGTAGAAAACACAGCCTTTGGCTTCACGGGACCTGTGCAGCTTGGAAGAAACGGGCCTGCTGCAGACTTCGTGGGCCCTGCACTCGCGTGAGACTGCTGCCGATTCCCTGACTGCCCAAGGGGACGGGCGAGCGGGCAGGTGCTAATTATGCTAAATATTCGCCTGATCCGCAGATAGGCGGTGCATGTGCCCGATGTACTCCAGGCTCCAGACCAGGGGTGTGTGAGGCATCCACTCTGGGGGTGAGAATCTGCCGGGCTCCCCGGCCAGCACACCGGTGCCCACCTAGCTGCCCACCAGGAAGCGAGGCGGCACACGTGCTTCCACCACCTCCAGGCACGCGGCTTACACGCGCGTGTGGCGCAGAGGAGGCTGCTGGTCGCACACGTGTCCCACGAGTGTCTGCAGCCCCTCCAAGCAGGGGCTGAGCACACGCCGCAGCCTGAGCTCTCGCTTGGACCGGGCGGGGAGCTGCTTTGGCCCGAGGGCCAGATTCCGTTTCAGGGGTGCTCCTGGGGTGGGGGCAGCTTGCCAGTGGGGGCCGTGCTGAGGGCCAAGGGGGACAGGCCAAAGCACCCCAAACCTCCCGCATGGCTCATCTTAACGTGCTTCCTGCCGGTAGCCAAAACCTTTTAGAAGTCAGTGGGGGAAATGCACAGGAGCCAGGAAAATACCAGGCGGCTGGTAGCCGGGCCATCCGAAGGGTTCCAGAGCAGCAGATCCCACCCCAGCCACCTGCCCATGCCCCAGGCGCCCGTTAAGCACCAGGCCCGGCAGGGGGCACGGCTGGGACGAGGGCTTCCCAAGGGAGGCGAGCGGGGAGGGCGCCGGCACGGGCCTGCGAAGCCCCTGCTGCACACCTTTCGACCACCTTCCCCATCGGCCTGAGATACGGCTTGCGCAGCAGCCACGGGGTCCTGCTTTCCGGCAGGCAAGCCCCCTCTGAACCGTGGGCTCTGGACCTCCACAAAGAGGCGGCGAGTCCAGGGGGCTGGGCCCAGGGAATTCCCACCCCCGATGGATTCCTCACACGGCCCTAAATGGGAGTCC